CTCCGTTATGGGCTGCAAGATTCCTCTGTGCTTCTCAGACTCCAGGCCCGGGTGACTCAGCCCCTCACATATTAACCTGAGCCTCAGCACATGTCCTCGACGACGACATGGCATCATCATTGCGGAAACTCTTCGTTCTCATTCCCTAAAAGCGAGCCACCCACGATAGAATCGACTTCGAAAATGCCGCAGTAACATTGTGGTTGATGATGCAGAGCGACTGAGGGGAATCCTAGCAACACTGCCTACGCGCCTGTCGCGCTTGACGATTGAGCCAATGGAATACCCAAGCGACTGTCACGTCACACGCATGAACCCTCCAAATACAGACAAGCGTGCTCTGCCCAAGACATATATTTCGGGCCTTTAGGAGACGGAGCCCTTGATTCACCCTCATCTTTCTATCAGTCGCCGTGTGAAGCGATTTGAATTCTCTTCCCGTCATGGGAGCTCGACCAAAGGCGGTGCCTGAATCGACACCTCTCAAAGAAAAGCTTCTCATCCCAGGTGCCCGACTGGCGTCCCTGCCGAACCGTCATCGACCTGTTGGTTATCCGAGCGCTTGAGCTCCATTCAATCGGACCGCTTTGCGGATGTGGGGTTATGCACTCCATGACTGATCCATGACGGATCCGACTCCCTGGGTATCACAATGCTGAAAGGAGTATCCCTGCAACACATGCCCATCTCCCGCCATGTGGGCGCCGAACCCACGGAGACCTCCCGACCGGTAACACGTGATTCATGCGAGTGCAATATATTAGACATGTTGACACTCGATCACATGATCATATAACTTAGTCGGCATGTCGTTGGCAGTCCATGTCTCGGTCAGCTCTGAGGCTGTCGGTAAAGCTGGCAAGGATACTGTGGAGGTGGCTTGGGTGCCTTGACTCCTCGCCCATCGGTCGCGGCTCAACCACAACAAACAAAGAGGCTTCAGATACCCCGAAACATTTCAGTGGCCATTATTTCGTTGAATGGCTTGTTCAGATCCATAGGGTGTTATCTAGGGACTAGAGCGTCTCTTCGTGTCGGTATTTGCTTCCGATGGAGTAAGACTGCCGGCCGAGTGGGCTTCAGGGGTGCGCTCAACAGTATGCGATCTGGCCCCAGCTTTCTTTCCCCCCGTGCACAAGGCACACAAACGAAACGACCGAGCGCCAGGCAGCAGTGCTCTTTATCTCCTGCAGAATCCGAGGGGGATCTGGGAAAAGTAAGGCGTTCTTGACGGCCTGCTACAGATCGACGGTCGAACCCGTTCCAGCAACCCCTGTCTGCTCCCCCGTCGCTGGAAATCCCCCGCTGACAGCCCGCTTCTTCAAATTTTTACTGCACGTAGTAGCAGTGAGCTATGGGTTTGTGGAGTCCCACCCCTTCTTATTCCCCGGGTACTTCCCAATTGACATTGGGCATGCAAGTGTCTTCATATCAAGGCAACTGTGGGTATAGGACCGGCATAAAGAGCTAAAATGGTCTCGACTCGTCAATTTTGACATGACTCCCTGAGCAATACGTGGCTCCAGCGGCTCTGAACCCACGTCCCAAGGCTTCCCAGCTCCTGACTGACAGCACTCGGGCAACTTCAATGACGCACACCCCTGAAAGGTCCGCCTTATCTATCAGTATGCGTAGCTAGGGGCGTACGCTTCGGAATGCCAATAACACGGTGAGCTTTAGCCAAATGAGCGCACTCTAGTGGCGGTCGACAGCTTTGGATTGTGAGTCGTAAGCTGTGGGACACAGCCTACTGTTCGATTCAACATGTCGCCATGACGATACATGGATATTGCGGTGAAAGAATCCAATCTTGACAGACGCGAACAAGCGTGAGGAAAATGACATATTAACAAAGAAAGTCCACCAAATAACTTAAGAAGCTCGCTTTCAGTCTCAAACGTCTTGACTGATCACCACTTCATTCCTCGAGGACTTCTTGCTTACTTCGAGCACGATACCGCGTTCATCCCAAGCTTCCTCTGCAGTCCCGCTTTCCTGTTAAACAGCACAGTGATGCCGGATCTAGGATTTAATTGTTTCAAAACATCTCACCGTGCCAAGAAGTATGATTGCTGGTATCTGCGACATCAAGCAGCAGCTGACCTGATGCTGCAGACGGGACGAGCCGAAGTCATCCATCGCAATCACGCGCAAGCGTAATAAAACCAAGTCGAACGTCTCTCAGAGTTCAAACAGCAGAGGTTGTCAAAATGCTGTGCTCCCGACAACCCATCTACCTAGTCAGCACCTTAACCGGTAATGAGCGGCCAGTGGTCCACTGAGACCCGCAGAACGGCAACAAGAAAAGTTGAAGATAAAGGATGAGGTGCGGCTCGCAGATCTGGGCTTGGTAAGAGCAAAAACAAAAAAAAAAAAGGGGGGGGGGGGGGGGGGTGGGGGGTGTTGGTTGTTCATGTCATCTTGGAACTCATTCAGAAAACCATGTGCCTCGCCAGTACGTGCAGAGCCTAGCTCAACAATCAGAGAACGGATGTTGATGCTTAAAATCCTGTCCACTTCCTTGATCCATGTCCCTGTGCTGCCCACGTTGATGTACCTGAAGGTCCGCACGACTGCGAGTCATCTCGGAGTCACTGCTATCAGCTGCAGATGCGTTAAAAACTTTTGGCAGCCCCTGGCCATGATACCATCATCATAGTGACAAACAGGGACCCACAATGGGCGAGGGAGAGGCCATGAAATCAGGATAGTAATTACGGCTGATCTAACTGCCGGAATTCCTCAGCCCTATATTAGGAAGGACTTATCATTGCCGGGCTCGGCAAGGGCATATGGAACAACACGGGGAGGCTCCCGGCAACGGCAGCAACGGATTGATCATCTACTCATAGTCGATGTCAGAATCTACGCGCACAACACCAGTCCCTTGAACCCGGTCCAGGGCGGCTCTCTGCATCATCTGCAAAATTCGAATGGGCTGGACCTGGATGCGATCCCGTCGAGAAATTGCACCGTTACAGAGTGGCTTGCAGCTGGAACAAACTGACAGGGGGGCTTGTGTTTGCAACACAAACCCCTTTTCTAATTTGATCCCCACGAGTACGCTAGTTTACTAATCGTGGATGATTAGACAGACTATACCATAGCAGGGATTTGTGAAAATTCTTCTCCCTGCGGAACGCGATTGACAACGCAGGTACCTACCTCTTTTTATCTTGAGCCGTCCGGCTCTGGTCTCAAGCTGACATTCCGTGCCGCTGGCGTGCAGCGAACAACTCAGCCCATTCCAAGCCGGAAGAAAATTCCAGATGGACCCACGAGGCTGTGGGAAGGATCGTTATGGCGGTGAGTAACTCACCGACAATGCTTTCTCCTGGTTGCCTTGCCTGTCGGGCTTGGCACCTCCGAAGTGATCAATCACATCAAGAGCCAGCTTCCTGTTGACTTTCTGACAGCTCATCTCCACAGGCGGAATCGGCAGAGGGACCGATTCGTCGATTCTAGGACTCCCGAAGACACATCAAGTTCTGAGGGGAAACCTCGCCCCGTTCGCTGGATGGCTGGATGCGGCCCGTGGTTTGCCTTGCATGTGTATCCCTGGCTGTTTGATATACTCACGGGGTTGTCTGAACAGAAATGGATCCTTTCGCTATTCAGACCCCCCAGACAAGTATCTTTGTCAAAACGCCCTTTCGGGTAAGTTACTGTCTCAAACTAAAGCTAGAGCAGTTTGAGAGCATCTTGTGTTGGACAAATCATTATCTCCCACGCTATCTATCTCGCCCTGTTGGGTTATTTGTTATCCTTGTGCCATACAATTGCGCAAGACTATCACAAAGATAAGCAATAGCTCAAGAGTTTCTGTGTATAGCGACTTTGTACCTACCCAGTAATATAAACATGTAACTTAAAAGGGGCTTGCGGCTCATGCTTCAAGAGTGGATTTGGTAGACCTGAGCTTCCGCGGTTTGTCAGTGGTGCTTTTTACTGAATGAATGTATGTGTCAAGTGATGAGATATTAAACATAATGGTAAGCAACGTTATATATGAAGCCGCGCATCGTGTATATTGATATTTATGGTTTAATGCCCTTTGAACAAGAGCTGGCTGCCATCATCTGGGCTTGATGGCTCAAGCCTCATTGACGCCGTTCTCATGGACCGTAGTGTTTCGATCATTGTTCTTCTGAAAACGGCATTTGTGGTCACTTGAATGTGTCGTGGCTGACCTCGGTGACAGGAACCACTCTCCAGGGTTGACTGTTACGTCTTTAGAGGCGGGAATAATGAGTTGGCCAGCGAAAGAGAATTCTACTTTTGACTGACCACCTAGCTCATGAATAGAGTCTCCTGATAAGGTGACAGCATGAGTTGCTCAGAGGGCCTGTCCCCATGCTGCTCTCGTGGGCTAGCTGTACGGTGGGTGGTATGCTCATTCAGAAGCCGGTCACTTGTAAATGCAGCTTTGACAATCACTCTATTGACTTGAGATAACCATGAAGTGCAACTTCAAGCTGGGTCTTCCTGATAGAAGAAAACAATTTTACCAGGCCTATAGCCATAACTGTTGTTAGTAATTAGGAGACCTTACCTCGGTTAGCATATGCGATCTGCGATCCGCGATCCACCATGACAAACCATCCTACCTCAAATGGGCTACATTCACACACCGCAATCTGGCTACTGTGAGGGGAAAAAGGAGGTTTGTAGATACTTGTCGAGTTGAAGCAGTCTTAAATAGGATCTTAATGGGTAAATGCCATTCAGTATTGGGATCACGACTGGAGTATCCTGGCTCTTGAGAAGCTCGACGCCCCCAGCTGCATGATCTGTTGCGAGCCTCTTCGCTATCTGCAACTCCAAAACTAGGGCATGGCCTTATGAAGACTGAGTCCAATTTTCTGCGTCGTGCCAATTCTTGACGATCAAGACCATGCCGAGCCCCCTAGGGTCGCCCAGGTGTCCTCGCGCGGTGGAATAGTCGGGACCCCTATCAGGGCAGTGGAGGTCCTGTAAGAAGCAGAAAAGGAGCAAAAAGACTCCCCGGGAAAGGCTTGAACTTTCAACCTCCTGATTAATGATATTTAAATTCCTGTAGATAACAGTCAGACGCGCTAGCCAATTGCGCCACCGAGGATGTTTATTTGTAACAATGGGACAATTGACTACTGGTGAAATTTTGGTTGCAAAACCGGTTCGTATTACATCAAGCGTTAGAATTGAGGGGGAAATGCCAAGGTGATTAGGTAATAATGAGCGGATCAGACGGATTTCATTCATCATGTGGACCGCATCCGATGTGCGCGCACGTGACTGACAACTATGTACCTAGGTACCTAACCTCTCTGTCTCTCTTTCAATTTTAGTTTTTTTCTCTGCTGTTGAGAAGCAACGTTGAAAGCCAAGCCAACATATCTCAAAAGGTACTACTACCTAAGTCTTCTACTACTCAAGTATCTATTTTGTAGACGACAACATTCTTCGGGTCGCATCCGGATCGCGCGGTACGAATTTCACCTCCCGTGCCCTAGGTCCTGCGATGGGATTCTCTCTCATCAACAGGCCCTCGATCGGGTCGGCCTCCATCGGGTCCGTCGTCGCTTGAGCCGGTAGGATCCGGAAATGCGCTATTAGATGCAGAAACACAGTATACAGAGCCTTTGTCGCCACATGACTCGCCACGCACATGCGACCACCGATACCAAACGCGTATTGGTGTCTGTTGGCTGTCTGGTCGCCGTCAAGCCAGCGCTCGGGCTCGAACACGTTGGAGTCTGCGAACACTACCGGGTCTAGATCACAGGTGTAGAGTGTTAGCAGCCAATGACGGACATCTCACGCCTTCTATCCAAGAAGCCACGAAAGTGTGTATTCCGGAAGCAGTACTCACCTCGCGCGCATGCCCAGGCATTGAGGAACAGCAATATGTTTGGCGGAATGACAGCACCATTCCAGCGGACCTGCGAGTAATTTGCTTTTGGCAGGGCGAGACGCTGTACAACGAAGAAGCGTCCGACCTCCTTCGTCAGGGCCTCCACGTACTCGACTTTTGACCGGGCTACGTCTGCCGACGTCAGCAGCCCGGCATTCGTGCTCTTGATCGCCGCATACGCCTTTTCCTGGATATCCTGGCGGTGGGCAAGGAAGAGGATCGCCCACATCAGGGAGCGTTTCGTCGTATCGGCCCCGGCCAACATGCTAAGCCCGACGCTGACGAGTTCGCCTTCGGTGAGGCCCTTGCTCTCGGGATCTTTGAGGACGTTTCCTTGGATACAGGGCCGGTCGACGCCGTCGGCAATGTCTCTCTTGAGTTTGTCCTGGAGAACCTTGTGGTAGGCATATCGTCGCTTCCCAACATCCGGTAGGTGCGATGCCTTTTGCAGCCCTATCGCTCCCGCTAGAGTGTTGAGGGGTCTCAGAAGTGGGATGTAGTTCGAGAAGTTGCTCGTCGGGTTCCTGACTTTGGAGATTTCATCTTCAATGTATAGGATTTCCGATATTACCAGGTCCCTGTGCAGGTCTTTCACGTCTTCAACCCTGAAGGGTATCAGTCAGTGGTGAGACTCGCCTCGAGACACTACGTCACTCACCTCGTCCCGTATGCCAATGTCAGACTAAGGTTCAAGGCGAATTTCCTTGCCGTGTCTAACACATCGAGTGGTTCTTTACCGCCCTTGCAGCTGGATAAGATGTCCAGAAGGAAGGCTCTGGATTCAAGATCCAAGATCTGAATGGTGCCGGGTTAGCAGATTCGATGCGACATTAGGTGGGACTGGATGACTTACTGGCAGGTAACTCTCCGTACTGGTCTTGTTCAGCGCCGTAGCTGCAACCTTCCGCCGCCTTTTACAACTCTCGTCCCACGGACTAGTACCAATACTCGTCACCGAGCTCCCCTGCTGGACCTTCTGATGCAACACATGGAACACGGGGCGCGAGTTGGTCGCTTCTCGCTGGCTGATGAAAAGTGCCCGTGCTGCAGCGGCAGTGTTCACCACGACGGCCGGAACGTTACCCAGCTGCACTTGAAAGACGTCTCCGTATTTTTGCGCCCAGACTCTGTACTCATCAGATGTCGCGGTCCCACGAAGAGAAGGCAAGCTTCCCAACAATGGGTATCCTCTTGGCCCTGGAAGCTTAGGAATTCGGGCTCGCAGTCTGACGACCTCGTTCAACGCAACGTCACAAGCCAACACTGCCACCGGAACGAGGAGAACCAGACCCGCAAACTCGTAAAGGAGCGAAGACCCAATCATCGGGAAGTTCCCAGTAGCCATTGAGAGCACTGCCATTTCAGAGATAACCGCCGCTGCGAGTTCGTTTCAACTGGAATACCGAGAAGATGATCTCCTGTTTCCCTTGAGTGTGGTGTCAAACATCAACCATGTGGTCGTGTACTACCTCCGAGATCCTGAAGGTGGCTAAGAACAAGAGTACCTAGGTAGTCCGAACCCGGCATGGAATAGATATCACGCAATTGGTCTGATTAGTCACCATTCTAACCTACCTCAAGAATGGTATCTGTTATGGCGCTACATGAGCCCATCTGCCCATGCGCTCCGGCGCTAACAGAGGTGTGGGTGGGCCCACGAGTTGGGGATACAGAGGCTGGCTTATTACATCCGAGGATCAAACATGCCAGGCTTACCACGATTCACGATGACTACAAGCTACGATGGTTCGAAATTTCCTTTTTTCGTTGGAAGCGTGCTTGGCCAGTTAGTCTTGAGTCGAAACTCGCGCCAATCAGATTCCCGTTCCGGTTGTGTGTAAGTTCTCAACGCAGGTACTCTGTGCTCGGCTTGTTCCTTAATGATGCCCAGATATTTGTTATGTTCAGATGCTTGTATAGGTTGACTACAGATCGCCTTCGTCTTTTACCCCTGCCATTGTTTCGTCCGCTTTGGCAACATTGAACTGCTCAGGATCGCCCCAATTCTCACGCCGCGCCCTCTCTCGCGTTTCGCGATACATGTAAGGGGAGTGACGGTAGCCTTTATGCCACTGTCTCCCTTCCCATTCCTCTTCCACCGGCTTCTCTCCCTCTGCTCGAATTTCTGCGCCTCTTTGCTGTATGTTTCCCCAAACTCGCAGTATGTTGTCCCCTACGAGACCGCGAATCTGCTCGTCTGTGACGCCACGTGCCAAGACGAGCTCGATGAGATCGGGGTACTTGGAGACGTCCTGAACGGAAGCATCCGTGGGAATTCTCGAGGTTTTAGAGCGTCCCATTGTCGTGATTTTAACATACCTCTAGTCCTGTTGGAGTAAATGGGGTACCGCTGAAATCTGACCCGATACCGACGTGATTCCACCCGGCCACCTCTGCCAGATGCATGACATGATCGACAACGTCGTGAATGGTGACAGCGCCCGGGTCCTTCACGTTCAGGAATCTATTCACAAAGACGGCCATCACGATTCCTCCGTTGCGTCTAACGCCGCGGAGGACGTCATCAGGCACGTTCCGCAGATGCGGCGTGACCGAGTACGCCCCCGAATGCGAGAAGATGACGGGCGACCGGGTTAGCGAAAGCACGTCGCGCATCGTCTGGTGAGAGACATGTGACAGGTCGATCATCATGCCTAGGCGATTCATCTCCCGCACGTACGCGGGCCCCAACGACGGCGACAAGCCCCGATCCGGCCCGCCGTGCGCCACCGTCGATGCCGAAGTCGCCCACGCATTATCGCAGTTGTGCGTCGTCGTAATATACCGCACGCCCAGGTCGTGCGCCTGCCGGATCGCCGCGATCGACCCCCCACGCTGGTGCCCGCCCTCGATCCCCAGCATGCTGGCGATACGGCCGCGAGCGAACGCGGCGCGCGCGCATGCCGGCGTTGTGCAGTACGTGAACACCTCGGGCGATTCCGTGATGAAGCGTTTGGCCACGTCGATTTGTTCTAGCGTGTCGCGCACGATCCACTGTGTTTTGCATATCGAGGGTCAGCAATAGGCTCCCTTGATCTTTTACGACTTCACACATCTATTTTCTGCGATGAGTAATATGGAAGAGAAGCTCACGGAAGGGCCTTCGAAGTGCTTCTGTGCCTTGTCGCACTTCACATGCACGCTCCAGAACTGGCCCCCCATCATCCCCTGACGCATACGCGCCACGTCCGTGTGGCCCAGCAGCCGCTGATTCGGGTCATATCTTCCATCGTAAATGCGATTGTGAAGCTCCACGCGCAACAACCAGGGAAAGTCATTATGGCCATCGATGAGTGGCGTCGTCTGCAGGACTCTCCTCGTGCGCAATGCGTAATTCGTGGGGTCTATTGGCTCCTCGGCTGGGAGGAACAGGCTGCCTAAGGACGTAAAGGGGGTGAGGAGGATGGCGAGGCCTGTTGCTAGTATAGGGAGCCGCCACCGTTGTAGCCACCCCTCGCGCACCCTTTGTGGGTGGACTACTAATGTGGTGTCTCCCCTTGCGGTTCCCGCGTCAACTGCAGGATCGCTGCGATACAACGTAGACTGGGCACGCGGTATTGTTTCGGCCATCACTGATGTGTTTTTTTTTTTTTTGGCTCTGCTTTGGCTTAGTCAGAGCCAGGTGAAAAACCGAGATGAGGATTGCCTCTACATCTCAAGTCGACGCGGGCATGGTCAGATATCTCGCACTAGGTATCTGACTCCGAACCCGGCTTGCCTCGAGGCATGCCGACCACGCCCATGTTTGGTACGATAATGATTTCGGGTCATAGGACGTGCCACACATGGGGCGAAATCCACAGTTACAGACATCGGGATATTGAGACTTTGCGATGGCCTCTCAGAGTTCTTGAATTTGCTATCGCCATGCTACCCCATTATCACACTATCTGCAGGTGCAAGATAGATTTGCGGGGACGAGCTTGGCCTCGATCAGGTTGATTATGTTCGCTACCAAAAGCGGGACTACCTTGATAGCAAGAGAGAAGACTAGGACGGCATCATGGCATCTGATAACCTCGTTGAACAGATGAGGTGCGGCGTAGAAGTAATGTCGTGACCATTCTATTGGAAGCACTAATTATGCCCCATCAACCCCCCTGCAGCTTACATCCGATTCGATGAACATAAATCGCCTTGAAGAGTTATGGTGGCGACACAGCATGTATCCAGCTAACAGCTCTCCTGTTCGGAGCTTTTCTGAT